AGGTAAAGAAAAATTTTAAAATCTATTTATTTATTATATTTACTTTTAAAATAAATGATTTTACTATAAAAGACATATCTAAGTGATCAAAAATCTGTAAATATTCAAATCTGTAAATATTCATAATAATGTAATATTTGGACATTTATTTCTGCTTATACTTGCAATTGGACACGTCAAACAAAATTTTATGCATATGAATATAAAGGCAAAATTTGACTTTGAGGGTCAGATTATTTTCGTTTTATTAACAACCTGCTTTAAGATTTTTCATAAAGTAGATACATATGATAAAAAAGTTATATATCAAATTTGGCGGTGGTTGCTACACAGCAAGGGTATCAAATGAGGGTGTGAAGACATTCAATTATAAAATTTTACTATGATGCAGATCACCCAAATTTTACTATGTTTTACAACCTCCTATAGATCGGTTGGAAATGTCCTGTGACTGTTAGTACATCCAACAGGTATATTGATAAATCAACCAAACAAACCACTAAATAAAATATTACCTTTCTTATCTTTCATTCAAACAAACATAATAACAACAAAATCACACTTATTAAAATTCAAATGTCATTCCATGTCTATCAGATACTGGAATTTGGACCATTGCAACCCAATGAACAAGTTTTTGAAAACTTCACAGACAGTAGAACAGGTGCCCCAAGCACAACTGAAGATTTAAACACAATTCATCAAACATCCTCCAATGAAATCACTGCTCAACATCCAACACATCCAACTCCTTCTGGTGAAATTGTTCCACATCCAATCATTTCATGGGAACCCTCACAAAAATTTATGTAAGTCAAACAAAAATTTGAATCCTACATTCTGTATCAATACCATGCTCTTTTTACAGCAGGTTGCTTTATCCTGAGAAAGCAAAATGGACTCAAAAGATTGAAAATTTTGAATACCCATTAATTCAAGCAAACCTAAACCTAAGGCTCATTGAAAATCCAAATCCACCAGAAAATCGTATAGCAGTGTGTAGTTCATGTAAAAAAAATCCAAGAAGGAACTTCCCTCCTTATCTACACCCAATCCCTGTAGAAATCCAACAAATACCCCTTTTCAAGAGAAAATACTTGTCTCTGATCTATTTACACTCTTCTCTTGGATGGACATCAAACTTAGGTGCTTACTCTGAATATTGGTCAATTGTTGGAACATTTGGGTACTCAAAAAACATTTGATCATTGACATTCTATTCTGGAATAATTGGTGCTTTTTTGGAAGAGTACAATCCAAACAGCCCAGGATCACTGTTGGTTTGATAGGTCTTTAATTGCAGGTGCAAATTGGTTAGCTGACAATAATCCATATTTGAGAGAATATAAAAATGCACTAGTGACAAATTCCTCAGGATCTGTATCTTCATCTCCCACTGCAACACACTTACCAGATGATGAAACTGCTCCAGAGTTTCAAAGTGGAGATATAATAGTGCCTCATCAAAACTTCCCTTCTGAGATACATAATGAAGATTCTCATTATTCAAGACTAATAGCAGGCTTCATCAAAAATGATGACAGTAATGATGATTCAAATTCATTACCAGTCTCTTTTGATTTTGATCATCTTGAAGCTTTGCTGTTCCCAGATCTATTCCCAGATGGCCATGGAGATTACAAAGAGATGAAGAGTTGTTCAAGGAATCAGCAGCAGAGAATAGACACATATGGGAAGTACATCAAGCAACATCTTTTGGGTGTTGATAGCAGGTTTCATCTGCATCACCACTGGCCAGCATGGTCATATCTCCAACTTGAAAAACTTAGAAACTTCCAAAACAACCAGCGAATTGCCAATCAGAAAAATGTAGATGAAACTCACAGACTCCCAACAGCAGTGGAAATCATTGAGGAAAGTGCTTACATGAGTGGTTGGCAGTTCAGTGAAACAAACACATCAACCATTCCATCATTTATTCGAACTGGTGATACTTATTTTAACCAGAAATTGATGCATCTCACACTATAATCCGAAACTTAAACCTCCCAACCCTTTTCATCACTTTGTCAATGGCTGAAGGCCATTGGATTCACCTACGTCACATTCTAGGAGCATCTGACAATTTTGATACAGTTCCTTCAAACAGGCCCTTGCACACAACCCTGCATTTTATTCATCGTCATCAGAATTTGAAAAGGCTAATTTGGAAGGATCCAGATGTGAGTGGGTGGGGTACTTGCAAAGATTTCTTTGAACATGTGGAATTTCAAAACAGGGGTGCAGCACACACACACACAGTGTGTATTGGACATCCAAGCCAATTCAAGAGATGATTTCTGAAAATGTTATTTGATCTGGTGTCCCTGATCCAAATTTAGAGCCTGAATTGTATGAATGTGTTATGAGGTTGCAAATTCACTCATGCAACTCAAAATGTGATGGACCAGTCCCTTATGGTGAAAGATGCAAGAAGGTTTCCCTCAACCATTTTCTCCACATACTTATGCAGATCCAAACAACCTAAGATACACTTATCGTTGTGTGAATCCTCTTGACCAGTGGGTGGTTCCATACCATGCCTCAACCCTGCTAATTTGGAATGCACACATGAACATTCAATGAACTGATGAATTACATATTGTTTCTCCCAACAATAGAAACATAAGTTCCATAGAACCTAGTCGACATGCATGAATGTATTCACGAAATAAGTCACCTTCTTTGACATTAAATAGATGGGAAGGTTCTGGTTTGGCAATGTATTTGTTGATATACTTGGCCAGGCCTCTTGATGTGATGTAAGTAAAGTACATTGTGACTGACCCCCAATCAGTCAGATCAAAGTGCATCCTTCCATTTTTCAGGATAAATCTTGATGATGATGAACTTTATTGGAAAGACTTGATTGAAAATATTTAGCCCGACCAAATGGGGAACCCTTTGACAATATAACTTACAAGGATTACATTGAGCAATATGACATAAAACTATCAGCAATCAATTCAAGTAGCCAAACAATTTATAGAGACAACCTTGGAAACTATGTGGTGAAAAGAAAGACAAATATCTTGACAAGGTATAGAAATCTTTGGTTAGAGCATGGTGAATTGTATTTTAATCAAAACCTTTTGCTAAGAGTACCAGCAAGAAGTGAAGGAGATTTGATAGGAACCTATGAAACCTATCGTGATCATTACCTTGTAAGGTTCCCTGAAGAATTTGGAAATTCAATAAAATCAGATCAGCAAAATCAACATCACCAAACCATCAACATGCTTGACCAATACACCAATCTCATTGAAAATCTCTTATACTCTTTACAATCACTGTTAACTCAAGATATTAAAGGCATAATCAGAAGTCAGCTTGAAAACATCAAAATTTTACCTCCAATTGTTCCAAACAACAGTATGTTGAGCTTACCTTCATGTCAATATAACTGTGTGCAGACAATTTTCAATTACATGGGACCCAGAGACACATATCATTATCCATATTTTTTCATTAGTGGATCAGCAGGCTCTGGTAAGTCATTCCTGATAAATCTATTCGCAAAAAAATTCTTGGAGTTGAATAAAAACTTCTTGCTGATGGCACCAACTGGGGTTGCTGCTGTCAATATTCAAGGACAAACCATTCATTCAGCTCTCCGAATATGGTCACATGGTGGAAGGTATCAAACATTAGCATTTGCTGATCAAGAATTCAATCAAGAACTTCGAAAAATTGACACTATTATCATTGATGAAGTCTCTATGGTTCAAGCTTCATTGTTGACCTTCATATCAGAGATGTTTTCTGGAATCCATCAAATCTTTGCACCATTTGGAGGAATTAATGTTATTCTGATAGGTGATCTTGCTCAACTTCCCCCAATAAATGGACATCCTGTATACAAATCTCCTATTTGGAAAGTTTTCTACCCAATTTTTCTTTGTCACTCTCATCGCCAACAAAATGATCCATTTTTCTATAATGTCTTGCAAAAGATAAGACTTGGAAACATTACACCATCTGTTTGGCAATTTTTACAAGAAAAAGCTAATCAAAATCTTTCTTTAGAAATGTCTTCATTTCACACAAGCTATATTGTTGGGTTCAGAAAGAGTGCAAGTTATATTAACGAAATAATCTGCAATCACTTACCTGCATTGAACAACAAGTTTATGATATCTGAGGCGATTGACTGTGTAGATGGCAGGATGGTGGATAATAGTTATGAACATCTTATAAAAAATAAAACCAATCTCCCTGGATCACTTTGTTTGCAACTTGGTGCAAAGGTTATGTTTTTGAACAATTCACAAATTCACCATCAAATATGTAATGGAAGTTTTGGCATAATCACTGATGTTGACATAGAAAACAACAATGTGAGAGTTGCCTTCTCTGTATCTTCAGCAATTGTGGATATGGCAGTTTCAAAGCAAACATCCCATTTTTTAATCAATGGTGTCCCTGCAACCAGAACCCAATTTCCTTTACATAATGCCTTCGCTTTGACTGTTCACAAGTGTCAAGGGTTGACATTGCCAGATGTGTCACTTTCCCTGGACTCTCAAATCTTCACTTCTGGTCAAGCCCATGTTTCCTTGAGCCGTTGTTCAAAATGGGAAGATGTAAAAATTAATTCACTTTCTAGAGATGCTTTTAAAGTTGACCCATCAATGATCAAAGAGTATGAGCATTTGGAAGAAATAGTGACAAGGCCCTTACCTTATACAGTACATGGTGCTCATTAGTTTGCAAACAACAGCAGTTAAAAATATTATTATCATTTTTATTATTTATATGTCACTTGATAAATGTTTCACAAATAAAAATATATTAATATTAATAATATATATGGTAGTGGCAACAGAGTCGCCTGCAATAGCAATTTCTAGTTTCAAAGAAAAATAGGTTTTTATGAAATACAAGTATTGTTAAGAATATCATCAGTAAAAAAAAAATTGTTTTACTAAAAAAAAGATTTGTTTACTATGTAGTGATTTAATCTACTTTTTGCATCGTACTATGTTAAAATAAATTGATCAGCACTAATGATGAAATTTATGTGAACATATTCAAATCAGCCAATCAGAATTTCATATCCAAATGCTCCATCCCAAAATTTTAATTATAGATTTCAATTTTCACATACACATCTAAACTTGATAAGTAGGACGCAAGCAATCAATTGTTTAAAGTACTTTATAATATAAATAAATGGTTTAGATGTGTAACTTGTATATTATTATTATTGGCCCAATTTTTATTTCACTTTGGTTTATAAAAAATTCAGATTAACGGGCAATTTTACATATAAATGGCTTCAAAAAAATTAAAATTTCTTCAGTTTACGGTTTATAAAGTTTTATTAGTGACATTCATATTAATGGGGTAATTTACATATGTTTGGCTTTGGTGTTTTAAAAATTATTCATTTTAACAGGGTATTCGGATTAACGGGGTTGCCTATGTATATTCTAAATTCAAAAATCATTATGCAACATTTATTTAATATTTGCATACTTGATTAGTTTAATGAAATAATAACCAGGGAGCAGCATCCTCCTCCACTGTAAAAATCGAAAATGCCAAAGCGAATAGACCAAAAAGAACAATCAAATCCCCTAATAAAGAGCCTACTCAAATCACTCAACCATCTATCTCATTGTAAGAAAAATAGTGATCTCAAATTCTGTCATTCAGTATATCCGAAATTGAAAATAGTGACAACACTTTGCATATGCTTATCCATTCTATGAGCCAGTTAAAGCTGAGAAATTAGGCATTCTTTAATATCCTAATATAATAAAAATCCCATGGATCTTTCCACAATTCATAATAAATTAGGAAAAGAAGAATACGTCTCTGCAAAAGAGTTTGAAGCAAACATTTGATTAATGTTTGACAATTGTTACAAATTCAATGCTCTTGGTACTGTTGTTTATAACATGGGCAAACAGCCAGAAAATGTTTCGTTGTCTCTAGTAACTATTAGTATACTGTTATTATTATGTTGATAGTATACTATGCTAGGCTATCCACTCAAAAACTTCTCACTTTTGAAAAGCTTGTATTTATTATTATTTAATATATATAATATCTTACATAATAGCAAATAAAACAATTATTAACAATATATATACATAATTAATAGATAAAGATTTTAAATCATTTGATCTTGGTTCTATTTCTTATTTTTTCCCTTCATAATGAAAGATTCAAACAATAAAAATGAACTCAAGAAAAAGGAAATTATAATAATGTACCATTTATATTAAAACTTGAGATAAGCAAAAACTAATTGCGGCTGGTTATAATGATTTGGAAACATTACCGAATGTTAAATTGCTGCAACCTCCAACTAAAAAACGTTGTCATTGTAAATCGAAACTAGAACAGCAAAAGCAAAGAATTTTATCATCAATTTCTTATTTAAAAGAGCGGAATTTTGATTGGAGAATGATATGAAGATCTTGTCATCCTTTCATGAGGTGGTGATTTAGAAGAAGATTCATTATTTTTCACAATTTCGGAAAGATGGAATCTACAGAAGGATTCAGTTATCGTGTGGCTGTTAAAGTGAACATTGCTATATGTTTTAGCTGTGATCAGTTTGTTTATGTTGATAAAAGAGTAGGATATGCATTATATCACAATTATAAGATGGAGGAACATTGGCATACAAATTGTACTGGAAATAGACATTGTGATATAAGTTTCAAAGAGTATATGGAGCTTAAACAAAAACCAGAAGTTGAATATGATATTTACACAAGGTTAGCTATTTATCAATATGAATTACGAATAGAGAATCTTATCAAAAGAGTTAAACATATTCGAGAAACAGCAAAGAAAAATCGGGCATGTACAATTATACAGAGAAAATGGCTAGAGTATTTCTACCATCCTGATGGTATGTGTGCTAAAGAACTTGCTGAGCATTATAAATTATTATGAGCAGTTTGAGAAGAAATGTGTCAGGTTAGTAATGCATAATTATTATATATATATATATCTATTTGATGTAATTTATCTATTTATTTGATTTATTAATTATATAACTTATTCATATATATCTATTTTAAAATAAAATCACCTAAGGTATTCCTGAGGGCTAGTATCTTGGACTTTTATTCACTGCTATTTCGTGATGATTAATAGTTTTTTACTTTGATTTTTATTTTATCTGTATATATTTTATGGGGCACAAAAAATCCCTAGTGTAGATAGATCCAAGGGGTCATTGCTTTGCAATAATAAATCGTGTTTGTTATTTTTCACATCCACCTCAATTTCAATACAAGGCTGGATATGTACATCTTCTCAATATTATAAGAAGTGGCGAGTAGGATGTATTATATTTCTGCATTAATAAATAACGAAAAAAATAAATAATTATTTGATTGTTAAACCTTGGTTCATTCATCTAATTTCAATGGGGTGTCCCAACCAAGTCATACACTTAAAGGATCGTCTACTGCCATGAGAATTCGTGGTTTTTGATTTTACCAACCCACAAATGCTTATCAATTATCTTGGATTCTTTTTTGGATCATCTGTGTATTGATGTATGATTCTGCATATATCATTCCAGCTTCATCCATGGAGATGACACATTACACTAAATAGTATAATCTCTAACCAATCAAAAACAGCTATTAAGTACACTATACTTGATAGTGTAACACCACATATTATCTATCAACATTTATTTTTATACTCTTTATCACAAGCCTTTTTTAGCAAATTTTTACCATAAACATCATCAGATTGATAATACAGATGTAAGATTAGAAATGTTATAAATACACAATCAATTAGAACTAATTGGTGTTACATATTCCCTTTCAAATTAATTATGATTTATACCCAACCAAGTCCTGATACTGTAGCTAGGTTTAATCAATTGCCTAATCTTCGGGAAGCTAATGAATCAAGAAAGAAACAAAATCATGTTTAAATAGCACATCATACCCAATATCAGATGTGTACAAAAATAAAACCGATGATGTAATAATAAACTCTACTTACTATATAGTCAAATTTATTACTAGTACAATAAAATTCTGCTTACAATTTAATTTTTTGTATATAGAATTTTTAAATACTAATACATCAAATACATTCTGATCAATCATTATTTTATTAAAAATTGATATAACTAATACATGAAAAAGATCTAGATGTAATAAAAGTACATGAATAGATCGATTGTAAAAGTGCATTGTCTACCAATTGCTACCTTGAAGAAAATGCAAGATGCCAAATTCAATCATGTGGATGTGTAAATAAAGTTATAAAATATATTTAATCTCAAAATTTAAAAATTATTAAAAAAACAATTAAACCAACTAGGGTGAAAGTGATTTACACAGTTTTTTTGCATTAGATTCATAAACACTAAGAATTGATCCATTAACTTTGACCCAAGATTCAAGCCTTGATCTGGCTTGCTTCAAGTAATCTTCAGAAGGAAATTGCTTGATCACTGTCACATCACATGTTGAAAGCATGTGAACCCTATAATTTGAATCATAATAAGCATGTCTTAAGTTAATAATAGTCAATATGTTCTTGGGTATTAATAAATTATCTAAATCAATAAAAAACGATTTATTGAATTCGATAAACACAAACTGTCCACTGATATCTGTGGCAATAGCAGTTTGTATTTCAATAGTGATACCATATCGTATCTTCTCTACTATTTCTCCGACCGCCAACACAACTACCACAATGTCATGCTCTTCTTGACATTGATGAACTAGACCCGTTCTTATTGTCATTGTCATTGCTCTTATCCTGTACGCTTCGTCATAAATCGTAACAGCCCGTGGTCTATATAACGAATTCCTAATTTCATTTAAATCTGCCTTTTGTTTTCTCCATATTGTTGTATGTCCTATTGATGTCAGATGTATCAAAGAAATTGTTGATGATAAATTTGGATCATATGATTGATTATTGGCTACCATCAACGAATGTATCTGATATCTTTGTCCCTCATGAATAGAATCATATAAAGAGCTAGCAGGATTCCATATAGTGATCAATGCTTCTCTGTTAACTTTTGATTGAGCCTTTCTAATAGCTTTAGATTGACTGTGATAATCACACACACGTACTTTAAAGAATGGAATAACAGAACGAACACTTTTCAAATCTACTGATTCCAATTGCTCATTAAGCCACTTATTCCTTTCATTTAAATTACTCATCTCTTTTCTATTCAACCAATCATTCAACCATCTACTCTGATCAAAACTCAAGTATTCAATGATTCGATTAGAATACTCGCTATTATTCTGCAATAAATTATATAATTCTTCTGCAGATGTAAGACTTTGTATTAATTGTTTGGTAATTACTTGTTTCTGTTGTTTGAATTTGGCATTGCTTGCTGAAGTATTATTGTCATCATTTATTTCTAATTTATTAGAATCTTGTTGTGGCGATCTCCAATCATAGTCTTGCAGTAAGGATTGTATCTTTCCCTGTATCTTTTCTGCGAAATTTCTACGAGCCAACTCTTCACCTTTTTCATTGCGTATGATATATATTCCATCTTTAGTTGTTTCACGGTACATCAAAGGATATTTTCGCATTATTATAACATCAATTGCAAAAATAAATCCACCATCTGGAGTAAGGCTGTTTAATGAAGCAAATGGTCTAAACTTTCTGAATCCAAGCTTGGAGTCCCAATGGGCAAGTTTCGTCGAGTTTCCTGATAATTTCAAGCATATGGAGTTTGTTTCATCTAAAGCTGAAGTTTTGCCAACAGATTTTCCATAAACCTTTGCACCACAAATTTCAAGCTTGTAACCTATTTTTATTTTAGATTTCACTATAGCTCGTTGTAATGGTGGATCAATACATGCATTTATTTTATACCAACCATCAGTCAATTCCAATGAAAGTTTTGAACCATCAATATATTTTCTATCAGATGATGATGAATTTGGTATATAGGAGAAAGGTGGAGATACAGGAGAAAATGGTGGTGTTGGTGACATTGAAAAAGAAGAAGATAATGGCGGTGGTGTTAACGGAGTGGTTTTATCATCAATTATGTCTGATACGCACAGAACCATAGGCCACGCTGGTGAAGCATTCCCTTCTATAATTGATTTAAGAGCAGATCCTTGTGTACGATTTATTTCTCTTTCATATCTGTATTTTAATTGGTCAAGTACTGTATCAGATGATAACCAACAATGAAATAAATTAGGATATGATCTAATCATGCTACTTATTTTCCATACAATCCATTTGTAATGATTCAATACCCACTGTTGATCTATCAGGTTAGGATTGGCACCACATTTAATTAAACATGACAGAGCTTCATTTGGACCCCATGTTGCTTTTTGTTGTTGTTGGCAGTTTGATTTTAAAAAAAGTTTTGGCCAAGTGAAATTGTAAAGAGTGGCATTTGATGGGTTGATGTATAAGACATCCGGTGTTATTTCAAAATTTAATAAATCTTGTTCATTAAATGTTAAGGGATGATGATACACCATGTTTCCAATGGTGTTTCTAGGTACAGACGATGATAAAATAAACAATTTATTGTTATCATTGTTATCATTAATTGGTTGAGAGACTGTCACTTGTGATGATGTAGACAATGATTTTATATTCTTGTTTTTGTTTTTGTTTTTGCTTTTGTTTTTGTTTTTGCTAGGTTGTGGCATTGAATTATTAAAATTTTGTGATGAATGCAATGACCTGAGTGGAGTTCTTAATTTCAGATTAGGTTGATGAGATCTGATTGGTGGTTTTTTGTAGTTGTTTGAATTATGCTTGGAACCAGAATTTGAATGCTGATTTTTTCTTGATTTCTTTGTAGTAGTTGATGTTTCAATTAATGAGCTGTTGTTATGGTAATTGTTGTTTTTGTTATTGTCAATGTTACTATTACTATTAATGCTTTTTAAAGAGGTTCTGACTTTTATCATATCATTGTCTTTTGAAGGTTTAATGCTTGAAGAAGAATGTTCGGAAACCTTCATTGATTCTTTTGATATAGATTTAATTTTTCTTTTGAATCCAGTCGAAAATCCAGAAATAGTATTTAATATATTATCGGAAGAAGGAGAAGAAGTGTGTTTAGAATCGCCTAAACACTTGTAGGCTCTTTCCTTTGATTCTTTAGATATGGGAGCAATTTTTTTCCCAGAACCCGTGGTAAATCCAGAGATTTCTGAAGAATTGTTTGATGTATTATTGAAAGGAAGAGAGGCAGAATGTTCAGAAACATCAAAACACTTGTAGGGGTTTTCCAATGGTTCATTAAATGTAGGAGTAATGATTTCCTTGAATCCTGTGGATAATCTTGAAAATTCCACATTAATACTACTACTACTATTATTGTTGTTACCATTGTAAAAGTTTCCACCACCATCATTATTATAATTAGACGGTCTTGATGATGTAGTTTCATCAAAGTTATTAATACAATTGTTATTATTGCAACTATAATTCATGAATAGAATATCATTATTACCATCTTCAACAACATCTTGTAAAGAAGATAATTTTCTAGTTTTTGTCCAAGTATTCATTGAAACTTCAGGAAGTTTATGTTTGCTGGTCAGCATAAATTCAGGATCATCATTATTAGCATCATAGTTATTGTTGTTATTTTTAATAATAATGTTGTTAGAATTGCCATGATTGTTATTGTTATTGTTTAACATATGATCATAATCAAAATTATTATTTTCTATGTAATAATTATTATTGCCATTTAATAAAGGTGTTGTTAGTGTTTGATTGATGTTATTGTTGTTGTCAATATTTATAAAATTTTGTAAATCCCCTCTCATACTAATACAATGATCAATATCTATGTTAGGATTATATTTGATGTAGTTGATGTTCGTATTATTATTAATTTTACGAAAAGGTGTTGGGCTTTCATTGAAAATATGATTATTGGTGTAGTTATCATCATCATCATTATAACAGTGATCGTTATAATAATAATGATTAGATTCTATTAGATCAGATTGTGACGATACTAAAGATGTTAGTTGTATATATTCCTTATTATTGACTTATTAATTCAACAAAAAAATGAAATATTTATTTGAGATACTTTTCCTTGATCTATACAATTATATGTATATTGCTTACCATCAACAATTAAAGATCTTTCATGGTCAAGGTTATTGTTATAATTGTTGTACCTATTATCATTTACAGTTGAAATAGTAGCAGTAGTAGCAGTGTTGATAGTAGCAGTGTTAACAGTAGTAGCAGTGTTGACAGTAGTAGCAGTAGTATTTGAACCTGGAAAAGATTTAACAGGCGTAGGAAGAATATTAAAAGTAGTGGGAATATTTGACATTATTTCAGTATGTTGTTGTTGTGTTATTTATTATCAATATTATTAATATCACACTATTTATCAAGTAGAATTAACTTATAAGCAAATAACTATTTTGAAAATAAAACGCGTCAGGGGAAGGAAATAATTATTAAACAGGGCCCCTGAATAGACCACACTTGTGTATTTTCTGTCACGCGTCAATTTAACATTTTGGAATTAAAGGAATTAAAGATAATGAATTAATTAATATTTTGTCAATCAGTAAACTTGTTACAATAAAGTACATATTATATATAATTCATATAAATTGTAGCAAGTTATATCACCATACTTAAAAATTATACTTTTTTTTCCTTTAATTTTCTTTTGAAATAAAAGTATGAACAACAATATTATTGAAATTTCCAATATCGAAAATTTTCAAAACAATCTAAAAGGTACATAATTTTCATTATATAATAATTGATTTTTATTTTTTATTTATATTAAAATATTTTTTATAATGTTAAATAATAGATTGTTGGGTCTATATTAATAACAATGATGATAAAATCAAAAAAATCATAGAAAATTATAAATATGATAAAAATAATAATGAAAATAACAATGATGATTGTAATTATGATTATGACAGTTATATTGAAGATGATTGTTGCGCTGGTGACATTAGCGATGAAGATAATAATAGTGAAACTGGTGATAAAGATATTAATGACAATGACGATCTGATGATGTTACTGCTGCTTTTACTTTCACTTATACACTTACCATCACTACTGATAATAATATTGATATTAACAATAATTACACTAGTCATAGTATCATAGATTAAAGTAGCAAAAGATTTGTTTGCACGTCTCCAGGATGTACAAAAAAGTATTTAGTTAAAAATCATATTATTACCATATAAATTTCATGCTGTTCCCCTCTAAACGCTAGATATTATAATGAATCACGTTCAATTTGTGTCACCTTGTCCATTATTTGAAAAGAAGCAGACTAAAACCATTAAACAACACATTTATGAAAATATACACGCTTAAATTTACAATTATTTAGCAAACTTATTTCTTAATCATGAGATATATAGCATTTATTAAATAATTAACAAAATGTTATTATAAATAGCAAATGGTGATAATGATTAATCAGTTTTAATTGCTGAAACTTCATGTAAATAAGCACCAAGCAATTTGATTCCTTGTATATAGTTAGATAAATCGAGTTTTTCATTAGTAGAATGAGCTCCCTATATTATTCAATGAATGAGTGAATGAACGAATTAATTAATCAATCAGCAGATATCAAACAACCCCGTCAATCAAGAAATATTCAAGTTGAATGTTATTTGAAAACACACAAAATATAAAATATAAAATATAATATGGACTTACATCATCGCCTCTACCCATTGGAAGTAAAAGAACATTTTTTCCTAATAAATCTTGAAAAGTCAAAGTTACTGGGATAGATCCACCTTCACGTGTAAAGTCTGGTCTACAATTATAAACTGATTCAACAGCCTTTGATGCAGCAACTAAAAAAAACCAAAAAATTTAATAATAATAATAACAATTATCAATAATAAAAGCTCATATTTTACCAAAATTCCAATGATTTGGACTTGCTACCCATGCTTTTGCACCATGTAAGGTCTCTAATTTAAATTGATTTTTAGTTCCGAGTTTTTCAAATTCCTTTCTTAAATAATCTTCCGCTAAATTTTTAACTCGCTCAGGATCCATGTCTGGTACTAATCTAATTGAAAACTTTCCTCTGACACTGCAAGGTATGACTGTTTTAGCGCCTGATGCAGAAAATGCTCCTTCAATACCATGTAAAGAAAGCGATGGATAACGCCATCTATAATGATAATTAACGATGATAAAATTTTTAACAGTAGTAATAATAGTAGTAATGATGATGACGATTATGATGACAATATTAATAACCTATTCATTAAAGTTGGTTCTTTATCTTCAAAAAGACTAGTTTTGGATCCAATAGCTGAATGCAATTCATGAATACCAAAATCAATCGATTTATAAGTTTCCTTTTCTTCATCTATAAATAAATACATATATATATATATATATATTAAAATTTATAATTGCAAAAATAATACACGAATTTTTTCTTCCCTCAATAATTAATTACAGAATTTACCAGTTAATGCTGCAACGTCGTCTAAAATTCCAGGTATTAGAATTTCGCCGTTTGGTTTTACCAATTTACTTAAAAGGTAAACCAAATCCGTCATTGGTTCATAAACAGTTCCTCCAAAAACACCAGAATGAAGATCTCTACCAGGCCCACTTACAATAAGCTCAAAATAACAAATTCCCTATGAATATATTTAAAAGTAATAAATATTCATTTATCCAAAGTCGTTCGAATTTTTTAATTTCTTTACAAAATATAAATATATAATATGTGATATTTACTCGAAGTCCATATGTAAGACATGGTTTAGTTACGCCAAGCCAATAATTATCAGAGATGCAAACTGCATCCACATCTTTAAAATATCTTTTTGCTTCTTTAGCAATCAATTCGTCTAAATTTTCTGATCCACTTTCCTCCATTCCTTTATTAATTTAAAAGAATAATGAATTGAATATATATTGTCAAGCAAAGAATAAAAACAACAATTGAATAAAGAAATCACCTTCAAAACAAATTTTCAAATTCACTGGAAATTCAATTCCTGCTTTTTGATGAGCTTCAATGGCATTTAACCATCCAATGATTGGTCCTTTATCATCCGAAGAGCCTCTTCCTACCATACGACCATTAGAATCAGTAGTAAGTTTCCAAGGATCTGAATCCCAACCATCTTCAATCAACGCCTTAATTATATTAAACATAGATGATATATATAGTGATATATATGTATATGACAAATTTTATCAAAAAAATATACGTAATATATAATATTCTTACAGGTTGAACGTCATAATGCCCATAAACAAGGATAGTCTTTTTCTTTGGATCATTTCCATAAGTACCCAATAAAATAGGTGGTAACTTTAAAGTCTTTCCTGCCATTTGATGAGTACCAATATCAGCAATTTCGTAACTATTTTAACGTGAACATGAACATTAACAATATAATTTATTTGAGCCATTGGAGTTTTTTTTTTGAAATTAATTATTAACCTAACACCCAGTTTTTGAAATAATTTAACAAGCCATTCGCTCATTTTAAATACATCATCTCGGTATTGACAATCACCACTTACGCTGTTTATTCATAATTAAAAATAATTAAAAAATTAAATTAAATTAAATTAATATTATAATTGCTTTATTCTAATTCTTGTATTTTTTACCTTGGAATTGCAACTGCTTCTTTTAACCTTTCAACATAAACATCTTTGGATTGGTCTACACTGTCGAAAAATTTTTTTAAGACTTCTTTATCACACATTATTATTATTATTATTATTATCTTGAAAGCTTGGAAGTATTTATGTGTTAATGGACCTTGATCATCGTCATCTATAAAACTTTAAATTTTATTAAATGGTCACGAGAGATAAATTTGCAAATCACGTCGTATTAGGAAAATAACATGCGATCGTGGTAAAAAATATCACTTATTTATTGTTATTATTATAAATATATTAATATCCATTTAATCGAAAAAAATCATGAGGGAGACAAATAATATAATAATAATAATAATAAATAATAATAAGTGCCATAACCTAACGAACAAATTCATACATATCTATTTCATTCTATATGTAATAATAATAGCATAGTAATATTTGAACCAATTTTAATATTAGAAGTCGCTGGTTTTTAAAATGAACATACATATTTCATTCTAAACGTTATAAGCATATAACAAAAACAATAAAATAAATTATAATAAGAATATTTGAAACAATTTTAATTTTAATTTCACAAATCCATTACACATTCTAGTAATAATAATAATTACAGTAATCCATTATTAAACATAATAATTCAATCCCGTTATCATCATTAATAATACCATTCACGTCTTAATATCTAAACCCATCACCATCACCACAACAATCTGCTCCTTATCTTCACCCACACACTATTATTATCTTCCTCATCTATATTCACTGCTTAATGAAGCATCAAAATGGTGGTGTGTGTGATAATGAAAAAAATTCCCAATACTTACTATTTTAGTCAAAAAAATATTTTGGTCAGTTCTTTTCTCTGATGCGGGACAACAAATTAATTTGTTACTAAATAGAATTAGCTCTAGTATAGTTTGACGAAATGTTACCAAAGTTGCAAACCTATTACGTCAAATTCGCTACCATTAAGTCAAAAATGACGCGAGTAAAATTGCTTTAATGGCTGATAAATATGAAAGCCCACAAAAAAACTTGTAATATATATTTTTTGTTGAATATAAATTTCCAGTTCCCCACACACTCATTTACTAAACTTGAACATTCCTTACATTAATATTAATAGCGTGATACATGATCGGGATAGATAAAATCATTGGTTAGGGGATTCGATACTTTATTAATATTATGTTTAATTTTAGTTTACGCAAAAGCTTTTTACAATTACGCATGTAAACTCGATAAGTAAACACAGCAATCAATTGTTGATAATATAAATAAATGACCAACTTATCGAGTTTACATGTACATTATCAAATTATCATGTAAATAATCATGAAAGTTTTTATAACATCAATATTGATTGATTAAGTTACTTTGCAATAATAAACTCATCTTCCTTATTGTAGTGATCAATGAAGGATAACTTCGGGTTCTCGCAAAGGAAAAAGCAGAGAAAAGTAATAGATGATTAATATCCTAATAAAATAAAACTGTAATAGAATCATAAAATTAACTGTTAATAAACTTTTAAAATAAAAATAAAAAAATTGTCTTTATTTTCTTTGATAAAGCAACAGTGTATTTAATGCCTTGGTAAAGGTAACAGTCGTGAAGCTTTGGTAAAAAGCATATTTATTTACTTTAGTAAGCAAGGTTAGGACTAACATTGGTTAATTAGTGAGTGTTAACAACGATTAGTAACTTAATTGCTAAGCAAAGGTTTGGACTAACATTGGTTAATAAAGTATCATCCAAAGGTTAATCGGAAATACTGATAGTATTATTGTAGCTGTAAACGTGAGGCTCTTAAATAAGCTGCTTAAGTTGATTTACAATAAACCAAAGCAAGATTGCAATTGGCCAATAAATGTAAATGACTGAAATAAATCAATCACAAGTGAATAAAAGGAAATTTATAGAAGCCCTTGAGTTTTGTAAAAAGGTCATACTTATTTATTTATAGCTCACAGATTTGTCTAGGTGGAAGAAAGGGGCAGTAATTGAGAACTAAAGTAAATTTGTAAACTAATTATTGACAAGCACTGAGTTATTTGCAATTGACTAACAAAGTGTAACCCAAAAGTTGAACCATGATTGTTAATTAACCAAAATGATGCCTTTAATGACAAGAATCTAAAAGTTTATTGTTTTAAAACATTATTATAATTTAGTTTTAAGAAACGAAATAAGGATAAAATATAAAAGATAAATAATTATAATGAATAATTTTATAGTGGAGATTAAATTACTCATCCATCAATTCTTTGTTTACTATTGTTACTAGAGTCTAATACTCATTAATTAATTAATTGATATTTTAGTAATTTCCAATTAACTGATAATAATGAACTTTTATTTACCTTTGTTGACATTTTAGAGGAAAGAGTTAAAATCAAGAGTATTTAATGAGCTATCAATACTCGTGTAACCTTTTAAGCTTTTAGATTTAGCAATCTCTTCATCTAATATTCTACTTTTATGATATGCATCTGGATGTGATTTGTGTGCTTGTTGCGAAGTGCCACTACCACTGCTAGTAGTATTATCATCATCATCATTATTAAAAACTTTGTTATGTTTATTTTTAGCGAATCGATAAAGCTCTCTACTAGTTGCTCTTTTTGATGGATCCACATCCCAACACTTCTGCAACATTTGCACATAATCATCAGGCATTCCAGGTAGTATTGGTGGTCGTAAACCTTCACATATATCAAAAATCAAGCGATGATTGTGAGCCCTATCATCAAATGGTGGATGTCCTGCAAATATTTCCCACATTAACATCCCAACACTATAGATATCTGATTCTTTGGTGTTCTTCGTGTTATTTCCTCTAAGTAACTCGGGTGCAACATATGATACAATTCCATAGACTTTATTTGATGATTTATCATCAACTGGTCCACATAATCCCAAATCTGTAATATAACAATTACCTCCTCTACCCATTAATATATTACCACTATGTAAATCACAATGAATTAAATCTTTTTCATGTATCTGATATAATGCAAAACATAAATAATCAAAGATTATAATTCTGTCTTTTAATGTTAAACTTGAATGATTTTTCTGTAAATAACCCCTTAAATTTCCATCTGATAAATAATTTAAAACGATTGCATAATTTCCATTATCTGGGAATTTAGTTATACCATTGCATTTAACAATCAATGGTGATTTGATTTTAGAATAATTTATTGCCTATTGAATATAAAATCAATTAGTACTATATAATACAGTATTGTTTATTTGTTTAAATGACAACTACCAACCTCATCAAAAAATCTTTTTCCTGGATTACTTGAATCATTTAAACTTTTTAATACTACTATTTGATCTCCAAAATAACTAAATTCCTTTGTATTTTCGTCATAATCAATAATAGTTCCTCTAGTCCATGTAGCGGTAAAAATCGAACTAAATCCATCTTCTGTCAACTTTGTTATATCATAAAATTGCTCAAAAGGTATCCATTCTAAAATATGTCTTGGCAAAGATGATTTCATTTGACATTGTTGAATAAAATCATCAATTATGTTATTTCCAGATGTCCAAGTGGTGAAAAGACTCTGTAATTGTAAACTAATACAATCTTCACAGAACCAATCAGAGTATTTTGTCAATTTACATTTGTTACATTCTTTTGGTTTTCCCAATTTATAACTTGCATTTTGTAATTCAAAATCATAAATAAACCTTTCTTCACAATATTCTTTTTCATTTTCAGAAAGCTCCTCATTTTTTTTGACTAATGAAAAAAAATAATCTTTTCTACTTTCGCTATCTACTGCATTAGCACCATTAAATATTTTTCTATAAGTTTTATATACAAACTCCTCTCTTTCTGATGATAACGATGATAATAGTTTAACATATGACATTATATAAAAATATAAAATATAAATTCGACTTGATGTTTAATGAATGTAGAGATATAAAAGCTGCCGTGTTATGTAAGGTTCTTTTCTAAATGTCGTAATTTTTATGTAGATTTTTATATTTAGTGTAATATTTTTTTTTTAATGCTTCCTAACAATTTTACCCAAATTTGAATGCACGAGAAACATTCAGTTATAAAGAAGACTCGTTAAAATCTTGAAACGGTAAATCCGGTGCAGTTACGGTAACAAATCACGAATCTTCTAACATTTTGTTGCTCCACTTTAGTAAACTGAATTGTTGGGATCAAAATCAAAGGATAAAACTTCGTAATGAGTCGTTTTTTTTTTTCTTTTTTTGGTATGCTGGCTTGAAATTAATTTGTTAAAATTGAAATTTGAACAAAAATATTTATTTGGCAATCGAAAAATTATCTATTTTTTTCAAAACGTCAGGGTTGGGCGGAGCAGATACTTGACCGAAAGGAAATCGTGTTCAGCTTTAGAGGTTTTTTGCGTGGTGTCTACCGCTGTCTACCATTAGGTCTTCGTCTTGCTCTGATGTTTTATATAGACCAATTGAAATTACCAAAAACCTGTGGAGACTTTACCTCAGATCCCAAATCGTCTCACGACGTGCATATTTCGGGACACAAGACCGGAATTCAAAACCATTTTTTTGTTATTATTTTTTTGATTTTAACCATTTGAGGGTTAGTGTAAAATTTTTTATTTTAATTTTCTTTCGGAGAAAACAAATCTTTGTCAAAGGGGGGTTTTTTTAATCAAGAAAAAAAAATCATAGTTGATTTTTTTTTTAACAATTGAAATTTGTAAATAACGTTGATGTTTGCATGAATTTTATTCTTCTATAGCGATAGATTTGAAAAAAAAAAAAATTTCAATCGATCAATTGGCCTTTAATCTGGGTTAAATACAAGGAAAAGATCACAAATAGATTGTTTTTTTTAGTCAAGAAAAAAAAAGTTTAGTTGATTTTTTTTAACAACCGAAACTCATAAATGACTTTTGTTTCACATTAGGGTTCTTCTTTGGAAAGGATCTTTTATTAAATTTATTAAATTCGTGAACAATTTCTCTTTGTACATGTAATAAATAAATTTTTGCTCAACGCAACAAATAAAAATATGACTTGGCTAATGTTGATGCTTCGAACGAATATATAGTCACCTCGCATTTGAATGTAACCTGTGAAACTGAATCATATATAGAACACTATGCACCTCGACCTCAAATTTGAATGCAACGTAAAAAGCAAAACTAATGCACCGTTTTTCGGGTAGCGGGTCTAATTATATATGTTTTTGTGGTAATTTATTAGGATACTCGATCAATGCACCATCTGGCCACGAAATAGTTTAGTTATTATTAAAGATTGCATCATTGATCATAAATGCATGATAGTATGCTAAGATGCTTCGCATCCGATGCTAATTTGATAATGTTGTTTGATGAAATGTTGTCATAATTGTAATTGTAAAATTTATTACGTCAAATTCGCTGCCATTAAGTCAAGTGAATTGCTTTAAAAGGCTAGCAAAATATAAAAGTTTACAAATCTCCTTTGTTTCATTAGTTGTTCCCAAGGAGCTGAGCTTTTCTTTTGCTGAATACAAAAGTTCAATTCCCACACACTCATTTATTACTAAACTCGGACATCTCTTATATTAATAACGTGATACATGATTAGGGATTTTATGTTCCAGGGTTAACTAATTTTAGTGTATAATTATTATGAAAATTTTATGTCAAAGCTTTTATAATTATTATCAAATTATAATCATGAAGATTGATCAAATTATTTTGCAATAATAGACCCATCTTTATCTTTATCCTTATTGTAGTGATCAATGAAAATTTCATTAAGGATAGCTTCTGGTTCTCGCAGAAAAAAAATAATAGATAATTAACATTCTAATAAAATAAAACTCTGATAATCATTATTTAATAAACTTTTAAAAATAAAAACAAAAAAACATTGTCTTTATTTAAAGCACTTTGATAAAAGTAGCCAGTGTAGTTGGTGCCTTGGTAAAAAGTAACAATCGTGGAACTCTGGTGAAAAGTCACGTTTATTTGCTTTAGTGAGTAAGCAAAGGTTTGGACTAACGTTGGTTAACTAGTAGGTATTGATGAAGTAATATTATTGTAGTCATAAACATAAGGCTATTTATTAAACAAGCTACTTAGGTTGTTTTGCAAGTAGAATTGAAATTGGTCAATAAATGTAAACAAGAGCAAAACAACTGAAACAGATCGATCATAAGTGAATAAAAGGAACCTTATAGCATTCAAAAGAGCCATCTGGTACAATTAAGTGTGCTCCAAAACGATACCTTGCAATATCACCATTTAACAAGAAACAAAAAATTGTAAAAGTTTATTATTTCAAAGTACTGGTTACAAGATAAGAAATAAAATAAGGATGAAATAAAAGATAAATAAAAGAAGATAATAAATTTATAGTGGAGATTAAATTAGTCATTCATTGGATCTTTTCTTTTACTAGAATTTAATGTATTAATTAATATTGTTGGTAATAATTAATGGATAGTAATTTCCAATCGATTAATAATGAAATTTTTATTTACCTTTGTTAACATTTAGAGAAAAGAGTTACAATCAAGATTATTCAACGAACTATCATTACTTGTATAAATTTTTAAGCTTCTAGATTTAGCAATCTCTTCATCTAATATTCTACTTTTATGATATGCATCTGGATGTGATTTGTGTGCTTGTTGCGAAGTGCCACTACCACTGCTAGTAGTATTATCATCATCATCATTATTAAAAACTTTGTTATGTTTATTTTTAGCGAATCGATAAAGCTCTCTACTAGTTGCTCTTTTTGATGGATCCACATCCCAACACTTCTGCAACATTTGCACATAATCATCAGGCATTCCAGGTAGTATTGGTGGTCGTAAACCTTCACATATATCAAAAATCAAGCGATGATTGTG